GAAGTACGACCCCCTAGTCGAAGAGGTTGAGCTTCTGGAAGGTAACCCGGAGTACGCATATGTCAGATATCCTGGCGGCATGGAAGAAACGGTCTCCCTACTTCACCTGGCACCTTCAGCAGATTTCGGATGTGCTCCAGCATCCGAACAGCAGCAACCGCAGTCGTATGCTGATTCATTTATTAAGCCGGAACTATCTGACTCTGCTTCGGAAAGTGAAATGTCGAATTCTTCTGAACACCCATTGGTTGGTTGTACAACAACAGCGGACACGACCGTATGTCTTGCGCAACAGAGAGGCCTGAGAGAAATCACCTATAAAGCAACCTATAAAGCAAACTCTTGAGAACTTTCATCTCTGCGGGGGGTGAATGTTGTATATTTGCCCTGTTTTTCAAACGTTTCATCATTTATTGCTAAATCGCTTTCTTCCATTTTCAGCTCTCAGTGTCGAAGTTTTGGATGAATAAAGCCTAGCTTTCGGGCCCTCAGTCTTTTCCATTGTCATTCTGATTGTCGTTGCACTCCATCCCTCGTCGTACACAACAAGGGAGTTTTAAAACCCAGCGATTATTGTTCCAACGGTTTCTGGCATATAGTATTCGTATAAATGCGTCTCGTAAGGGCTCATTGCCACGTTGTTCTGTACTGAAAGCCGTAAAGTGGCAGTCTGGCAACCAACTGAGAAGTTTTTGCAGAAACTGATCAAGATTCTGATCTCCGTCCTGTTTACAAGTTTTCAATAGGTACCGGGAAAAAATTTCATTTTCCGATTATACATAAATTTCGCGCAAGTTTGCGATAGCTGATTCATAAGTTTCGCAGTATTTGATATGTCGGTAAACGCTGGGAGCAACGTAATTGAACAAGATTTTCAGTTCATCTGGGGAATGAGAAACAATCATCTCTAGGAAGTTCGAGAAAGTACAAAATCAATGCTCCCAGATATCTGTCGATTATTGAGTATTGGGAGCGGTATCCAATCGATCAGGACGTAAGAATCGATTCATTGCTCGATGAAAATCCTTGGATGAATAAAATGTCTTTGAAGAGTGATAGATTGCAGCGACAATCATAGTGAGGATGAGGATGAACCGACCGTGAAGTGTGGTTGACATGGAAACCCAAGGAAATGGAAGAGGTCCAAAAAGCCGATTAGGCCCGGAGATTATTTTAGTTTATCTGTGTGACCGGTCCCCTGGAGCCACCTGCGAGTCACACGACCAAGGATCGGAATGGCGTGAACATCTCGAATAAAGAAGAATGCCTCAACTGATGGGCTGAATACTTCGAACAATTGTCATGGCCACCAGCTGGCACCCATTTGAAGCCCACAGGTGACACAGAACCCTGGGCGGTGAACGTGGAATCACCTACGGCCCCGGAGGTTTATGGCTGCATATGTTCTTTTAAGCGCCACCGAGCCTCTGGTGCGGAAGACCTCCCACCCGCATTGTTCAAAAACGGAGGTGAAGTACTCAGTCAACGCTTGTCTGAACTGTTTGTTTGCATTTGCGAAAAGGAGTCTGTCCCGGACAACTGGGGAGAGTGGGTGATAGTGCCCATTTTCAAAAAAGGGGCTCGTAGTAAGTGTGGCAACCACAGGGAGGATCAGTTTGACCTCGGTCGTAACGAGATTGTTGGCGTCATCCGTGCTTCGTCGCCATATAGTGGCACGCGAGACATTGAATCGAAAGCAGTGAGCCTCGTAGTGGTTTTGTTGACCAAATCTTCACTTTGTCAGGCGCTAGAACAACGCCATACGTATAGGGGACCCACAATTCTAGTGTTCCTGGATTTCCAAGGTGCATTTGACTCGGCTGACCGGTCTGTTCTCCTTGATACGCTTGCCCATAAAGGAATGCCCCGAACGTCCGCGAACATAGTAAGCTATTTGTATTCTCAGACTGCTGCACATGAGAGCGTATACGGCGAGTTCTCCAGAAGCTTTCGTACTTCAAGTGGGGTACTGAACAACATATGTTCATACAGCCTATGACAAAAACGTGACTTATCTGGAATATGCAGACGACATCGTTCTCATCTCTAAGACGAGAGAGCGCGCGTGTTGTTGCATGAACTCGTTGAAGTCACCCCGCTCTTTGGTGTACGCTTTGCACCCACAAAGTGTAAGGCCATGATCCTGGACACGCAGCCACTCACCACGCCACTTACAATCCAGGGAGACACTGGAATTTGTGAAGCTTTTTACGTATCTTGGAAGTTGTATTAGTTCTGATTATAGTGTGACAAATGAGGTCAATGCACGAATCTGCAAGGCTCGGGTCGCGTTCGCTAAGCGGTGTCAAAGCGATGTATCCCTGAATCTCAAGAGACGTGTGTATCAGGCTACAGTGCGGGCTGTTTTGTTGTATGACTGTGTGACTTGGCCTGTTAGAGCAGCGGAAGTGAGACGTCTCCAGGCGTTCGACAATCGTTGTCTCAGAACTATAGATCGTGTGGGTTTGTGTCGGCGTATCCGTAACGAAGCAATTAGAAAGCGAGTTTTCGCCTTTCAGGATTGGGACCGCGTGATTCTCACTGCGCCTAGTTGGAGCCGCTGCAAGATATAGCTGCCAACTGATTTCACTTTCTATCCAGATAGCCTGAATGAGTGTTTGAAAGTGTAGGAACCTCGGAATGATTGAAGTAAGCTAGCACGAAGTCCCTTCCCCATCCACCTTTATTCTTTTCTTTACAATAAGGCTTCCAATTAAATCCTGGTTGTACGGCGGCGAAGCACCGCTGTTGAACACTGATGTCATGCAGTCCATGATGCTTATGAGACGTTTTAATGACGTATTTTAGTAACTATACAGCTCAACCTCCCGACCGCCAAGTCGAAGAACAACATGGTGACCAGGGTGCATTTACACCCATTCTGCTGTTTGCTGAGATCCAAGAAAAATACGGGTTTGTATGCACTTTGAAAAACCCGCAAACCATTTCTTCCCTTTGAATTAGTAGCTGCGAGATAGAAGCATGCCCATAGCAAGACGTTGACATTTAATTAATATTGGCAAACGGTGCGCTGGGATCCATTTGAACCAGACGGACAGACATGGATAAGAGTGATGGGCCGTTTTTCTTAACACACTGGGTGTCCAGCATGGTGTGATATCATTAACTCTCTAGCTGCAGGCTAGTTTTCGGCCGACCGCAGACCTTGTTGCGGCAGTGAATATTAGTTGTGGATGGAAGTCAATCACATTTTTTGTCTTCCTAAGCAATAATATTAATACTGTGAAACCACAAATATCTCACAAATCGGTTGGTAGGCTTACTTCTTGATGGACAACTGCCAAGATAACACTTGTAAGCCGAATGTTATCGGGATTCTAACCAAGAGGGATCAGAGAAATTTTGCGGCAGGTTATTCTGCTGCATGGTATAATTCGGACACAATGTAAAGGGAGTGCCGAAACCGATAACGGACATCCAAAAATACTTTCAAACCAATGTCTTAACTTAAAAGGCTGATGTATTCTGCGGAAGCACAACACCACACGCAACTTCCAGTATGGTTTCGTGGGTCACGGAGGCACAAAAACCGTCAGACCACGGTAAGTTTTAGTATCTTTGTGACAGAAGTGGCGCCAAGCAAAGAATTCCGGTATTGGGGAGAGCCGTTGTGCTTGCGTGATATTCATGAGTCATGTCTCATTTGTATGTGATGCCAAACTTAGCAAGTACTCAGTAAGTTTTGTTGGCCACGGGTGAAAGAATATCTGTCAACTCCTAGTCTCGTATCCACGTGGCAGCGAGAACACAAAACCTCATAGCGAAGACACGATTACGTCACTCAGGTAAGCCGTCCAGAGATGACTGAGAGTAATCGTCTCAAACGACGGATCTATTCGTTGGTGAATGGAACGCTTAAGACAACCACGTATGCGCTTGGCATCTGCGAATTTCAAAGCGATATACTAAGAGTGGATGAGATCAAACCCAAACCGCATACTTACGGTCCAGTCAATCAATATGGTAGACAAATATGCTTACCTGGACTGTTGTCAAAGTTCAGGCCGGGACGACATTACTTCTCCAATCAGAGGGATCAGTGGAACTTTTGCAAACGTGTGATATCCATGGCGCCAGGGTGTCGTAAATTTGCCTGTCAACAAATCTATGCTTCCTTAAGGATCAGGAACGTGACCCCTACACGTCACGGTTGCGAGAAAACCGTCAGGATTCCGGGTCACCAGCCATGTCAGATGAAAGCATCGGATTACCAAGGATGAACTACGGTGGATGGTTTACGGGAAAATTAACCCACTCACAACCGATGAGATGCTCACGCTTCGTAGGGTACGCTGATCAAGACACGTACTTGGCATTCTGGAGGACCGCCTGCCTCTCAGAACTCTTCTTTCCAGCTCTGTGCTGGAGCACAAACCATGCTAGTCATGATCAGCACTTCCTATCGAGTGGAAGTGAGCAAAAGGTGGACAGTCTATTACATAGAAACGAAGTTGGGAAGCGCTCAGGAGTAAATCGGCCAGGTCGTTAGCTGCTGACTCCCCGACCACGATTCCTGGAACCCAACCTATCAGTGATGTGACACAGAAAGGCATGGCAAAACTGCGCAGTCAGTAGGGCATGCGACGGCCAACTTCAATCTGTAGAGAGTTGTCTACCGTTTCCTTAGTGCAATACGAAATGCGAAGCATCGGCTACACAATCACCAAAGGAACCTCAGAAACTGAATCTACCCTGAAATCGGTCCAAGACTTGCTCTTCCGCACACCACGGCATATCAAACGGTACAGTACCTTGGAGCAGCCATTAATTAAGGTAACAAAATTGTTGCAACCTTATGTATGGGCTTTTCGCGGCACTTACCGCAACCTGACGGTGAAGGATTAGAAGTGCTGAGACCAACGTCCGATCCTGATTTGCTCACATTCCGACCAATCAGGACATGGCTTCGTTTGGTTGGTAGTTGTCTCGATACACATCCGTCCAATAAGGTTGGTGCTCGTTTACTGCGAGCCGATCACCTTTGGACACTGCCGTAGGTAGACATGCCGCTAGGTTGACGAAACAGACCACTCAAGAAGTTAATAATTATCATTACGCTTTGCTTGCAAAATATAAGGGGTTTTGGCTTTATTATCTTGGTTGACCAATTCCGGGAAACTCCTTTTAAAGGGAATGGTTGAGGGGACGACAAACATGGTGCAAATCTGGTAGTGAAGCCTTATGGTGGCTCATTAACTTGGGGAAGGTTCTCAGTGAGCGAAGATCCGTCGGTGGTGATAGTTTCTGAATTTAATCAATATCGTTCGGGTCGGGGTGAAGGCCAGAGTTATCGAAGTTAAAACCTAAGTTTTCTATAGACGTAAGAAAGGATGCACATTTCTCAGTGGTGAAAGCAATATTCCCGGATTATATTGAGTAGTGAGGTAAGGCGACTAAGGATTTCTTTCTAATCGGAGGCTGCCGGAATGCTATCCAAGGACAACACGACGTCTGCTAACCCAATAATCATAGCGTCCATGGTCTGTTGGAATGTGGCTGGCGCCGTTTTTATTCAAAGGAAACACAATTGAACTGTAAAAGAGCACACTAAGTGTTAGCGGTTGGAAGATCCTTGGAGCCATTCGCAACTTCGGTTTGTAAATAGGCATCCGCCAGATCGAGTTTAGCAAGGCAAGCGCCATTATTGATTTTGATAAACAGGTTTTCTGAAACTGGAGTAGGATACTGATATTGATCGAGTGCAGCATTCAGGTCTGTAGAGTAAACAGCACGAATCATTATCTTCCCGTTCGCCTTCTCAACCACAACAATAGCAACCATCCCATGGAGAGTAGTTGGCCGGCTGGATAGCACCTATGGTCTGGAGACGGCCGAGTCCAGCGTCCACAGGTGCAAGAGCCACATAAGGTACAGAGAATCTTGATCTGAAGGCAAGTTTGCAAATTTGACTCCCAGTGAATTGTGGCTTGGGCTTTTGAAAATTGCCTAAATCTTCCAAACATTCAGCAGCCTGGCTGTTAAAGTTAGTGCATATAAATAAGCTTCGGCTACTCTGGGGCAATTTTCAGGAATCTGACCTTCTCGACTTATGTCCTCTTGATCTGTCAAAGTGAGACTACAGGCGCCAGTTAAGCTGAAGTGGCTACATCAGGCTTCTGACTCAGTCTGTCCATCGCCTTGTGTAGAAGACAGCTTATCAACACTGTGCTCCCGTTTCCAACTTCATGTGACAGCCAATCCTCGTATTTATTCCCCTTGACCAGATTAATTAAAGCCTTCTTGTTTTACTGAACTATTTTAATAACTCTTACGGACTTTGGTCGGACATTGTGATTCTTGCGGTTGCTCGCCGTCGATATCGCCAGTGGCTAGAAGCACAATGCATTTTTCTGTAAAACCCCTGCGAGCGGGATAAAAGCTAACGTCAAAATGTTGCACTTCTTTGCATACTCTTACGGTGGTCGGACATTGTGATTCTTGCGGTTGCTCGCCGTCGATATCGCCAGTGGCTAGAAGCACAATGCATTTTTCTGTAAAAAAAACCCGAGCGGGATAAAAGCTAACGTCAAAATGTTGCACTTCTTTGCATATATGCGCGGACTGAAACCCACCCTCATCTGTCGCCATTTTTTTGCAATTTGTTTTAATCGATCGCTTTTGAAAATTATTGGCGCACATTCGGCTTTGAACTTCGCCTGCTATGGCTTCGGAAGTGGCTTTCGTTGGGATATTTGTGGGTGTATCGTTTTCATCCTTTACGGCATTTGAGAAGACCTTAAATGGATACATGAACGATAACTTTGTGATATTTGTGCGTTCATCCAGTAATCGAAGCACCAACACTATTTTGCGCTACGAATGGGTGTGCTACAGATGCAGCAGGCGCCCTCCAAGACTAACGGAAGGCCGTGGAATCCGAAGAAGCTGGTAAGCCGAGCGTAGTTTCTAATAAAAAAGTACGCGAAGCACAAGCTATCCAGTGCGGTTTTGTCTACGGAGGCAAAGGAATCAACTGGCAGTGACCTCTTATCTTCTGAAACACAACCACACACTGTCAAAGTTTCTGTACGATCGGCTTCCAGTCAGTCGACTCCTAACCGAAGACGAGTTCGGCACGTGCCAGGCCCTGTTGAGATTACGAACGCCGTCATCTGAGGTGCGGCAGTTTGTGGCGGTTGAATTCGGAAAGATTCTTGCAGCTAAGGATATGCACAACTACCGCCGGAATTGTCGACTGGCTATGTTGAGTAGGTGCCGGATAGTTGGGTTTTAATGTAGCAGACGATATGCCTTCCGTCCTGGCAAAACTTCGGGAGACCGGACGCGTCCTTGTGTGTCAGGGAGAGGAAGGTCAGTATAGCTACATGTTTCTCCCGATGGCCGCAGATGGCATTGTTCCGACGCTTTCCAGATGTAGTGAATATGGACGAGACGCATGCAACAAACCGCCTTGGGGAAGTTTTTAAAGCATCTAATATTCGGCATTTAGATACAAATTATACATATTCTTGATAACGGACGGCATGGGAACCGGGCGTCCGGTTACGTATGCGTTTGTAGAGAGAGAGCAGTTCACTTCCATGCGTAAACTGTTCGGTTTATTCAAAGAA